CATGTACTCAAAATATGATTGTGCTCAAAACTCTTCAGATTTTCAGGCTCCACCCACTTTCTAGTGTCAGATGGCAGGTGTGTGTATGGCGGGGTGTCATTCACCAGGAATCTAGGGTCTTCACAACAGGCTGGAGGAAGGAATCACATTTTGACTCCTTTTTCTCTCTCCATAGCTGCCTGTGGCCCAAATATGCTACATCCTCCTTAAGTCTGAAGACCCTTTCTCTTTGTAACAAAGACTATGACAATAGGATTATCCCCATATTGGGGTTAATTTCTGGCTCAAAAGTTCTCTTTTCAGCTATGGAGAAAATTTTCCCCCAGAAAAGAACTTTCCTAAATCTGAAGCTGATCCTCAGACTTGGTCTCAGGCCCTACCACACGTGGCCACCAGGGGCCGCTGTTCCTAGAGAGGGCGTAATCTCAGTAACCATATCCTGCTGTTTCCTCTAAACTAAGTGGTTGCTCTCATATTCAAAAAAAAATTTTAAAGGGCGACTACTTTTATATATGTTTTTGCAAAACCTGGAAGTATTATTCAACTTGTACTTTCTATATGTGTCTATATGGGAAACTTCAAGCCAGAAAGCACGACAGAAAAGGAAGCAGCTGTGTAAGACTGCCTGCACAGGTGAAGAGTGAAGGATGAGGATGGCCAGCATTTCTACCTTGGAGAAGGAAACTACTGCAATGTGGAAATAAGAGAACAGATCCAGGAAAGCAGGAGATGCCCGGAGCGTGCTGGGTTTCAGAATTAGTAAAATATAATATGTCTTTCCCATTCAACCCCAAGATTCCTCAAAATACCTAATTCTGATTCAAGCCCCTGTGCTGACTGAATATGTCAGACATACTTTTAATATGATGTAAAACTATTTTTTTAGTCTTGAAGATTCTTACCGGAATTCAAGTGAAAATTCACACACACACACACACACACACACTCACACACACACACATTTGGCCATCCAGCTATGGAGAAAGAGATGGTACAGTTTTTACACTATTTGACAGAAAAAAAAAAGAAATGTAATATTCTCATGTAGATTTACATTGAGAAAATAAATACCCATATTTATTAGCAGCTAATTCTGAAGAAGGAACTGTCCTAAATGGTTTTAAATGCACTCATATTTTGTATTCCATTTACCATTTGAGAAAACTGAAGCTCAAGGAAGTTGAGTTACCTCTGAGAAAAGGAGTTCCATGCAGAATACCACAGTCACATGTGATTTTTAATATGTAGGATTTCTGTGATTGCTTTGAATTTGTTTTCTTATTTTCAGAATTATTCTTCCTTATTGTTGAAGGGCTTGTATTTTTGGTGGCGACATTTGTATTTTCTGCTGGTTTTAGTTTACTTTTTTGTTCTTTACCTTAAATTTTCCAGAAGAAAAAAAAATCTCTGATCCAGTTCCACTTTCCATCTGATGAAAGAAGTTTTTTGATTTAGTTTTAAATTGATATTGACTATTATAGGACAATTCTAAAGTTAACCAGAAAAGATCAGAGAATATAAAGGAAAATTTCATACATTATTAGCCTTACCAAAAAAAAATGTACTATATTATAAAACAGCAACAAAATAAACATGGTGACAGTGAGGAAAAGCAAGTGGCCCAATAGTAATAAAGAAATTAATCCCAGAAATTGTTGGATTATATGTAGTAGTTAAATTTAGAATTAAGGGCATTTTAAATGGTAATAAGGAAAAGAAATTTTAATAAATGGTAAAAAGATAATTCCTGGTAATCTAGACAAAATGTCAATTTAGATTCTCATAGATAGATGAAAAATATAATTGAATGTAAAAGTAACTTTGAAAAATTTAAAATATAAAAAGGAATTGATAATTTGTAAGTTCAACAGATAATGAGAATGGGGATTTGTTCTATATGCTCAATATTCTGGCACTAGGGGAAAATATAAAGAAAATGAACAGTTGTTAGCAAACATAAAATTGACAGAGTGCATCACAGAAATATTGCTACCATCTGCATAAAAGGTTTATATTCACTTTTTAAGAAATAAGGAAGTATAAAAGCATAATCTATAAGAATAACACAAAACTACAGTTAATGTCATTAACATAAAACCCAAATAAAGAGAATTAAACATTGAAGACAATAAAATGCCAAGTATTCTAACCCAATAGTATCTAAGAACTATTGAACAACTATTGGACATTTTACTCTGTTAATCACATTAATAGATATTTTAACCTATTTTATAAAAGAAAAAAAATGCTGATAGTATATGCTTGTACAACATTTATTCCTTGCAATCTATCCTTTAAGAAAAGTTTGTAAAAAGGTTACAAAATTATATAAATAATACTACACACATTTTTTCCCTACGAGCTACCCTATTTACCTTTCCTTTCATAGATAAACTTCTCAAAAGAAATTTCTATCCATTTGGTCATTAATATCTTTCCTCTTGTTTACCTTAGTGTATTCCACCCTGGATTCTGCTGAATTAAATCTGTCAACCTAGTCTTTGCTTTTTCTGAATATAAGACATCATATCTTAAAAACAGCTCTTCATAAAGCACCTCTTATCATGACTTTCTCCTGCCTGCTCTCCTCTTATGCTACCATTCTGTTTTAGTGGGCTTTGCAAATTTTCATTCACTTTCCTATATTTCAAAATGAAAGTCCCCAAGATTCAGGTTTTGATCTTCTCCTCAATCTCTACTTACTTTCTATGAGACTTCATTCATTCCCCCAGATCCATAAATTAATGTCTCTAGACAAAGCACTCTCTAAATTCCCCAACTATATGTTCAATTGTCAAGACTGAGTCTCTGTATCCTTCAGTTTCTGATGACAGAAGACCTTTTCTTAGGCCTACAAAGTTAGCATATAATGAAGTTAAAATTAATTGAGTAATATGTTTATGTCTCCTTCAAAAAAGAAGAAAAGCTCGAGGAAGAGGAAAATTCCAGAAGGGCTGAAATTGTTTTCTTTTACCCCAAAGACAGTCGTACAAGTGTTACTTGTAAGAAATTAATGAACAAACTAAATTTCCTTTCTTCACTTTAGGTTGTAAAATCAGCCCTCTTATTCAGTTGTCAAGAATAGACAAATGCAAAAAGACATGAAAGTAATACTTTAAATAATAAAGAGAAAAAACAATAAAGATGATGCTTTTATGTAATTAATACAATGTAAAAGTAAACATGATATCATACATTCGAAAACACTGAAATACAATAAATGCATCAGAATCAAGAGCTAAGTACATGAATAAATTAATAATGTTATCTATATTGGTCTGATGATGCTAAGGACTGTATGCTTTAACACAGAGTTAATACCACCAACTGTTGTGATAAATTTTATTCATTTAATTTAATGATAAAGTCAGAAAAAACAGTATTTTGAAATGACTAAATGTGGGAGTATGAAGTATATCTGTCCCTAATAATCCTTAAGATCTGATTCCTGAGCTATTAAGTCTTATGGACTGTCTTTGGGAAGTTATGTGGATTTCTTCTTCCTTTTCCTGATGGAGACTGATTCACAGCTAGTAAGGAGTCATTATGGCTCAAGAGAATCCTTCCACCCTCAACTCCTGCACAAGCAGATCTCCAGGACTTCCCAATGTGGAATTCTCCAGGCCAGTCATTTCAAGCAACCTCTTGGGCTGAACAGGTTGGAGATCTGCAGGAGCATCTTGTGGTGGTCTAAGTCTTCTGGACCTTGCTGACATTTACCAGAAACAAAAGGGGGAAAAATGGAAATTGAGTAAATGTTCATCAACAGGAGACTGGTTAAATAATTTATGGCACAGTCAGTCAGTAGACAACAACACAATAGTTTAAAAATACAAAAAAAAAAAAAGCTCTGTGTATACTAATTCTGGAAGATCTTATAGTAAACAAAGTAAGGTGCAGAAGAGTATGTATATGGTATGCTATTGTTTCCATAAAAATGAGGAAGTATAATAAAAATATGTAACTGTATTCTTGACCTTTACATGGATTTCTATACATGTAAAGAAACTTCAGAAGGATTGAAAGACAGTAATAAATTCAAACTTTGGAAATGTTGCAAAAACACTGTGTCCAAGTATACATTCATTCCTATGTCAGAACTTAAATTTGCTCATAATTGAAGAAATGCAAGTTAATAACATATCCACAAAGAGAAAAACAGCAGATGGAAAATGTACACTCAAATATTGTCAGTGATGATATTTTGGAAATATTGACTGAATATTCTATCAAATACTATCGAAAAAAGTTAAATTTAGAGTCCCAATTCTAGAAACATTACAGATTCTATAAAACAACCAAGGACAAGTAAGCATATAGGAAGGAACAAGTAATAGGCGGAGTAAATTACAGTACACAGTAATTGGAAAATTGTATAGCCATTGAAAAGTGGTGAAAGGAAAACAAAAGCATTAGAAATTATTTAAGATGGCAGGGCTTTGCACTGCAAGCCAAAAATCTAGAATGTATTTACATACTATGACTACAATTTGGTTGAAAGATAAATACTGTTTTTTAAGTGAATTAAAAAATTTGGAAAATATGAACCCAAATTATAATTAAAGTGAGTATGAATTAAATTGTGTGGGACAAAAATTATAAAGTGTTTTATGGAGAAATAAATGTAAGCATCCTCTTGCAACTTCCTCCCCTTCCGCCAGGTTTCTTCTCAATTTGTACAAAAGCTGCCCTTTATTGTTATTTAAAGGCAGAAGCCAAGAAGTGTAAATCTTAAAGAAAAAGCATGCACTTGGCAAGAGAGAAGGGCTCAGACACCTAGAAAACTAACAAACGCACAGCCTTAAGTACACGCAGTCACTCAGAGGCCCAGGCACTCTCACAGGCTGGAGCGCTCAGACGCTGGCCTTCCGCCCACCCAGCATCACTTCCTCCCCCCCAGCCCCGCCCCGCCCTCCCAGCCTCCCGCGCACTCCCCGCCTCCCGCGCACTCCCCGCCTCCAGCGCACTCCCCTTCCCCCACTCTCGCCCACCAGCAAGGCCTGGTAGCCGCGCAGGCGCAGTAGCAGTGCAGCCGCTCCTAGCCCGGGGGATCCTGGGACTAGGCCTTTCCGGAAGGACCGGCTTGGTGTACGGGATTAGGCCCGTGTTCCAGACCCAGGTCCAGGCCCTTGTTCCAGGTCCTTGCTTGAAGATACGCTGGTGGCCGCGGTGACGCTCCAGTGACAACGGAAGGCGCAGCGGGCCGCTCGCTGAGGTGCCCGGCCTCGCCACCGACGAGCCTCGGAGACGCAGTACGTGGCAGCGCCTCCCCCTTGGTTCGGAGCGCAACTGTTGAAGGCGCGGCGGCTCAGGCCGGACGAGGTGAACCGGGTCATTTAACTGGCTTCAGGTGATGAATCATCAACCTAACAATCAGATTTGAGGCCCACAGCTCATTGTGGTCCTGCTTCAGGACAGTTTTCTGTGGATGAGTGACTGGTGTGTCCGGAGAGGTGCCGCAGTGACTGCTTGCCCTTGATAAGGAAAGCGAGCTTGCCTGCTCTTTTGGACATACTTGTTTCCTGTAAAACGGTCAGGTTCTAACTTCTTTGTCTGGCATACATCTCCGTGCACGAGAAAGGCTTTCACATGAAAGTGTCTCTTGGTAACGGAGAAATGGGCGTCTCTGCCCACTTGCAGCCTTGCAAGGCTGGAACCACACGATTTTTTACCAGCAATACTCATAGTTCGGTGGTATTGCAAGGCTTTGATCAGCTTAGAATAGAAGGATTGCTTTGTGATGTGACTCTGGTACCTGGTGATGGAGATGAAATCTTCCCTGTCCACAGAGCTATGATGGCGTCTGCTAGTGATTATTTCAAGGCAATGTTCACTGGTGGGATGAAAGAACAAGATTTAATGTGCATTAAGCTTCATGGAGTGAACAAGGTTGGTCTGAAAAAAATTATTGATTTTATTTATACTGCAAAACTTTCTCTTAATATGGACAATCTTCAGGACACACTTGAAGCTGCCAGCTTTTTACAAATTTTACCTGTTTTGGACTTCTGTAAAGTCTTTCTCATATCAGGAGTTTCTTTAGATAACTGTGTTGAAGTTGGACGAATTGCTAACACCTACAATCTTATAGAAGTGGATAAATATGTTAATAATTTCATCCTGAAGAACTTTCCTGCTTTATTGAATACAGGAGAATTTCTAAAACTCCCTTTTGAACGGCTTGCCTTTGTACTTTCCAGTAATAGTCTTAAGCACTGTACTGAACTTGAACTCTTCAAGGCTGCCTGCCGCTGGCTGAGGTTGGAAGATCCTCGAATGGATTATGCTGCAAAATTAATGAAGAATATTCGATTTCCACTAATGTCACCACAGGACCTCATCAACTATGTGCAGACAGTAGATTTCATGAGAACAGACAATACCTGCGTGAATTTGCTTTTGGAAGCCAGCAATTACCAAATGATGCCATATATGCAGCCAGTGATGCAGTCAGACAGAACTGCCATTCGGTCTGACTCCACCCACTTGGTTACATTAGGAGGAGTTTTGAGGCAGCAGCTGGTTGTCAGTAAAGAATTACGAATGTATGATGAAAGGGCACAGGAGTGGAGATCTTTAGCTCCCATGGATGCTCCTCGTTACCAGCATGGCATTGCTGTCATTGGAAACTTCCTTTATGTAGTTGGTGGTCAGAGTAATTATGATACGAAAGGAAAAACTGCTGTTGATACAGTTTTCAGATTTGATCCTCGGTATAATAAATGGATGCAGGTGGCATCATTAAATGAAAAGCGTACATTCTTCCACTTGAGTGCCCTCAAAGGACATTTGTATGCAGTTGGTGGGCGCAGTGCAGCTGGTGAGTTGGCCACAGTTGAATGTTACAATCCACGAATGAATGAATGGAGCTATGTTGCAAAAATGAGTGAACCACACTATGGCCATGCTGGAACAGTGTATGGAGGCTTAATGTATATTTCAGGAGGAATTACCCATGACACCTTTCAAAATGAGCTCATGTGTTTCGACCCAGATACAGATAAATGGACACAGAAGGCTCCAATGACTACAGTCAGAGGTCTGCATTGCATGTGCACAGTTGGAGACAAGCTCTATGTCATTGGTGGCAACCATTTCCGAGGAACAAGTGATTACGATGATGTTCTAAGCTGTGAATACTATTCACCAACCCTTGACCAGTGGACACCAATTGCTGCTATGTTAAGAGGTCAAAGTGATGTTGGAGTTGCTGTTTTTGAAAATAAAATCTATGTTGTTGGTGGATATTCTTGGAATAATCGCTGTATGGTAGAAATTGTCCAGAAATATGACCCAGAAAAGGATGAGTGGCATAAAGTTTTTGATCTTCCAGAGTCACTTGGTGGCATTCGAGCTTGTACCCTCACAGTTTTTCCACCTGAAGAAAACCCTGGGTCACCTTCTAGAGAATCGCCTCTTTCAGCACCATCAGATCATTCTTAGGTCCAAGGTGTAATACCTTTGCAGTGCATCTTGGATGATGACATACTTCCCTTTAATTGTATCTTATAATGATTGGTACAGTTATTTGGCAAAAAGGTAACTTACGTTATTTGTCTTGTTTGGCTTAGTATGTTTGTCAAATGGTTAGCAAGTGCATTCTGAAAATGTATTCAGCATATCCAGCTGTTTTAACACCCAAAAAAAAGAACATAGAAAAATGTTTAAATTAGATGTATTTTTGTGGTGTTACATTAGTTAAATTGTAAGTCACTGTAGTAAATGTATAATTATGTCCATTGTGCTTCAAAGTTGAAAGTTTTCATCTGACTGAAAAACATCAGAGGGAAGCCACTTACTCTAATACACAAAAGATTGTCAAGTGTTATTAGCTTCCTCATTGCATGGTTTTTGGCATATCAGTCAACTGTTCAGGTTGGGTGGTTGTACTCCGAATATAGTTTCTTAGGCAGACAGAAGAAGTAGTAAAAAGATTTACCAGAAGAAGTAGCACTAAGTCAGGATTTGGAATCTATAGAAAAAGAAAAGGAGATTAAAGGCATACACACAACACAAACATGCACACACACATTCATACATATGTGTATAAATACACACATAGAATTTTGTGTATGTAGAAAAAAATTAACACTTAAACTATAGTAAAATTGTTCTTAATATTTTTTTTTTTATTTCACACAGTACCAGTTTTTATTTAAATGGGAATTCGTTACCACAGAATGTTGTAGTCACATATAGCAGTTAGATAGCTAAGGGCTACAACGTATTAAATTGGCAACCAGATTTGTCATTAAACTTAACTGTTACTTCAGATGAAGCTTACATTTTCTGCTTGTATATTTTTTTCCTGTAGAGTTGCTTTTATACTGATTATTTAGTAACGGTCAATTGAACTCTGCTTTCTTCTATCTTTTCAGTAAAATTTATGATACAAAAAAAGCAAAGATGGAAGGATTCTGTGCAGCTATAGGATTTTAAATTCAGTCTCCCAATTTAGTCATTCTGACAGGATTATTTTGTAATTTGGGTTGATTGTCCTGGTGCTGCTCTGGCCCATATGCATATTGAGCTATGTGATCTGCCTCAAGGCTGTGGTCTGAGCAAGCAGGAGATAAACTCTCTTCTGCATCAAATCAGAAAAATGTCCTTTCAGCCATGTCTCAAGGACAGGACCAACTTCAGATTCCCTAAGAAGCCATCTACAGAAAATGTAATGTAAAAACACTATTGCCTTGCAAGAGGCAGACCTAAACAAGATCTTTAATATCAAGGAGTATACCAACTAGTTGAGATTACATAGGGAAATTTTAATAGGACTTTACCAACAAGTGGAATTATAAGAGTCCTCTAAAATCAGTGATTCTGAAGTGCTTTCCTGGAATAATTGTCTACTTGAAGAAAAAAATAATTATATAGATAGACCTAAATATCTGTATCTATATAGTCCTATAGCTGGGAGTTATCAGGGTATAAATAAGAACAATTTTCTCTTTATTGACAATTCCATAATAAAACTCAGGAAACAAAGCAAAAGGAATTGGCTTCCAGGGATCTGAACATTACTTACTGCCCACATGAGTTGATCCATTTTAATGTTTTTTATGATTTCTGCATTAGCAGAAATTTTCATATTTTCTATGTTTTTTTAATGACTTAGTTTTTTTATTACTAAAATAGCACATTTCAGTACATTTAGAAAATAGAAAAAGTAGAAATTGCTGTAACTTTGTGTATTGAATAAGCAAGAAATGGCATCCCAATCATTTCTTTGATTATTAATGAGAATGAATATTTGTGTATTTTGGGTAGCTATGTTTCCTCTTTGGTCAAATGTTCATGTCATTTTTGTGATATCTATTGGAGTTGCTTTGTTTTTCATACCAAGTTACAGGATCTCTTTATATAATAAATAGAATTTAACTGGCATTTGCTTGCATTAATTTTTTTCAATCTATTATGGTTTAAAACAACTTAGGTCCATTCAGTTAATTTTTGAGATCAGACTTGTCCAACTTTTTTGCTCTTTGACCTTTTGGGGATAACTACTATGATTTATTTTTAATGTCAGTGCTAATTCTGACATGCCAAGGTGATATTGTCCTGCTCACTTTTTAGTCTGTGTAAACTTTTTATTTTATTGGAAAAATATTTTCGGTTTCTATTATATTTGATTGCTTAACCAGGTAAGTTAACCTTTCCATCTGCATCACCTCCCTGCCTGACACACCCCACCTCTTATTTTTTTACTTGCCAGTTTTCTGCACTTGACAGATCTGTTGGCAATTAGACAATAGCTGACTGAAGCTGTGCTGATAATACTAGTTAAACTTAGAACTCCTTCCTTAAAGAGATGGACATTTTAAGTGGCTTTGAAATGATTGACTAGAAAGAGATTTATTTTCATAAGCTGGTAATTTAAGGAAAAATTTAGATGGAAAAATATTTAAAGAAGAGTATCAAAAGAAAAAGCAGAACTTGTGAACCTTTTTGATATAAAAATAAGTTGTTTCTATTATAAAGAGTACAGGGAAACTAAAGTAAATAAAAAATTATTCATGATTTCACATTCCAAAGATATTTCAGTGAATACTGAATATACATCTAACATTTTCAAGTAGTTTTTCAAATATGCCAGGCCCTAAACTAAAAGATAGATTCTTAAAAAGAAAAAATACAACTTCCAAAGATACAGACTGCTATCACGACTTTTACTTTTTTTTTTAACCTAAAAACAGTAGAAAATAACTTGTAAGGTGTTTTTTCCTAATTATCAACGCAAGTGCATTAAGAAAAACATTTCATTTTTACACATAAACCCAGACTTCTTACAAATACAATTATAATAATCCCCACAAACTCCACTGATAAATGGGAAACTGAAGTTTAGAGAGGGAAACTTACCCTAAAGTCTTTCAGAATTTCTTGGAATTGGTTGAGCTATGGATAGGACTTGGGTTTTAATCTCTGAGCCTTATTATGATACCTGATCTTTATCCTCTAATATCCCATTGTTGAGCATATATTTATGACTGGATGGTGGTTAAAAGAAGATTTAGATGTTCATTAAGGATGAACATGCTGCAGAACTGCTGAAGTTGTGTTCATTAACCAAATATACTTAAAAATAATAGCTGGTTCTGTTTTGTCATCACTGAGCAGCTGCTTTCTAGAAGCAATGTTATTCTGCCATCTGCTGGTTGAAATTGAAAGTCCTTATTTAGTTCGATTCGGAAAATGTTGCTTCCTTTAAACAAAATAGTAGTAACAGAATCAGAAAATCTTGTAGTATATGTGACAGTTAAAGGCTAGCCAATAATATCAGTTATGTAATTAAATATGAAAAGGGACACTAATTTGGTAAATTGTAGGTTAAATATTCAGAAGAATGTGTTTTTGATATCACATAAAAGTAGATTTAAATTGCTGAATTTTTATTTTATTGATAATATAGTTTGAATAGAATATCTGCCACATTTCATTCAGATTCTACACATTCACACTACTTGCTGCTTTTTTTAAAAACTGGATTCTGCAAACCTTTTTATTTTTATCTTTTAGCAGCAAGCCTTATCACAAAGAAAGTAATTCTTTTTAACCACATTAAGGATGTAATGCAGTATATCCAAGAAAAGGTAAATCTGACAACCTCATAATAGTCTAAATAATTTCTGCTGTAGCCACCTAGGTTTCACTGAGTCCAACAAAGAATTGCATACATAGCACACACATATATGATAAAATAGCTTCAATACCAGCTAACCCATCCATGGAATCAAAGAAAGCCTGTTTCATGGCTGTGTGAACAGTACAAGTATTGAACTACTTCTTCATTCTCCAAAGTAGTGTTTTAGAGCAAATTATTCTCATTCCTACCCTCAGGATGGATGAGACTAAAAACAGGTGATCTTTTAGCAGAGCTTTACTGAGGAATATAAAAAATTCACACAGCCCCATATTTCTTTTCTACACAGAACTGAATGAACACAGTCAGTTTACACACAATATTTAAACAAGATGAGTATAGAGCTGATGACAACATCAATGGGACCCATGCTTCAGATGTTTTGTCGTATATAGCCACTTCTCTAAGTCAGTCCTTAGAGAATGTCTTGCTGTCCACTGGTCCATCTTCCAGAATGCTGTTACAATAGAGCCTTACAGAGTTTTAGCATTCTTTGCCTCCATTTTACCCAGCACCCAGTTTGCACAGTACATATTTGTGTGGTTATGGGGGAAAGTTGACTTCTGTTGGTTCAAATAATTTTCTTTTACTTAAGGAGTATACTTTACCACTTGGAAGCCATAACATTCTTTCAGCCAAGAATTGGTGACCCATAAAAACTACTTTTAATTCATGTTAAACATACCTAGTATGAAATCCTAGCTTAAGTCAGTATTACATTTTTTTCTATATGCTAGGTAGTGTTTACATCATTTCTTTTTAACATTAATCTTTCTACCCTTCTTTAGATACGGAAATTACAAAGTAGACTTCCCCAAACTTTGCATACCTTCACCTCTCCTTCCCTACTCCTCCCACACATTTACTTGGAGGCATCACTTAAGCTCAAAGATTGGGGAAAGAATTTTCTAACCTTCAAGGCTATCTCTTCATGATTAATCCATTACCTAAACATAATTTACTTTACTCTTCAAGGGGAGTAGGTTATGGATTTTGAAAGGACTGCAGCCAATAACAGTTACTCTCTCAGCCTTTGAGTGATTGCTTCTTTCTTCTAGTGACTGCCTCAAGTCCACTGTGTTCATCGAAAGTCCAGAATAAACAGTAATTCATACTAATTAGCTCAAACACTTTAACCCAGACCTGACACCCTTTTATCCTATTGCTTCCTTAGAATCTTTCAGGGCAAGTCTGATCCCTATTAAAAAATCCCTTCCCACTCCCTCCTGCTCTTTAGCATGGTTCTTTGTGGGGGGTGCTTCTACATACTGCAAAAGTTAAAGAACTTGGATTGGTTTGATTATCAAGTCAAAATCACTAGGAAATCTGTTGCCAGGGGTCAATAGCGAATGGGCTTCATTACAACTTTAGGAAAAGAAGGAGTGTGGGAATCCCCAGAGAGAAGAATGTAACTTTTCAGCCCTATTGGTGACTATTTAGGTGACTCTTTATCTCTGACCAGCCCTATTTGTGGTCAGAGAGAAACAGCATTAGAAAATGTCAGTTCCTTCCAGTTATTACTAGCAGGATCAAAGTATGGTTTGCATGTACAAATATGCCACAATGAAATAATCATTCTGTGTATTAAAATGCATTAATTTTTAAAAAGTGGTGATCAGTGTAGTTTTCTGGCTTGTGTTGTTTTTATAAGGTATTCCCATAATTCAGCAAGCACGACATCTTTTTATTACCTCTGTTTAGTCATCAGCCTTACATTCATCTATATTCTTTACTAAGACACCTCATGAATATCTTCTGAACTTAGTTAGATCTAACTCTTTGGTTACTATTTCCTAATGACTATTTCCCAATGGATCCACTGCCCTCCTTTCTGTACAATATGTGCAACAAAACCCCAATCTAGTTTTTAAAATATAGGTGGAAGAGTCTTTCTAATGTGTGTTTGGTAAGATCAATGCATTGTTTGAAATATTTCAATATTGGCAATTACTATTTCTGTGAATTACAATCCTGATTGCTTTCAAAGCCTTTTAATTTCTACTTCCCTCTCCAACTCCATCTCTATGTGTTTCTAAATTTTCTTTCTTTCTCTGATTCTGCATGCTCCCTCTGGCCACTACACTTTGACATTCATTGCTCCCTGTTTTTGAACACTTTGAGCATTATGCATTTTTGTGGCTAACTTCTAAAGATTCTTGAGATGCCAGCTTAGCAGTCACTTCTGGATGAGCTTTCTCTGATCCATACAATTCATGCATGCTCCCAGTATCCTGTACTACTCCATCACAGTCATTGATATGACTATAGGTGAATGCTCTCCTGCCTATATCCCCACAAGACTGGAAGTTCTGTGACAGCAGGAAGTGTGTCTACTTTTTTCACTGTACCTGTTACTCATTACACTGCCAGTAACTAGAAGGTAGAGAGAAAATGTATTCACTACTTACTTGTTGAAGTTTCAGGCTGAATGATTTTATATTGCTCTTTGGTTTCTAGTTCATGCAACTGCTAAATTGAATTAACAACCATCAAATATGATTACCCTAAGAAACCAAAAGTAAAACTGAATTCACTCTAGCTGATTTAATCTGTTACAGTCTCTTGTTCATCTCCTTAATAGCCCAAGAAAGGATTTCTACCTTATTACTTCTTACTTAGAGTTGTCTTCTCTGGCAGAGTGCTTCATTATAAAACATAAAATCTTTATTTAATTTACCAATAGAGTCACAAGGATAAGTACATTGCCTAGAACAGAAATAACTTAAAATATTTATGAATAAATGGAATTAACATTCCTTTTGGATTTGAAGGCAGATTAAAGGTTTAGGATACTTCATATTTCTTCAACAGTATGAGTAAGACCAAACTTTTACAATATAGATTTAACTTCCTCACCCTCTCCAAGCAAAAGAAACCATATTTATATGGAGGCATAGCTGACCATATTTACAAAGAATAAATTTTGCAAACACAGCAATTATCGTGTTTTAATTTTTACACATTAAAAACTTAATTTCATTCTACTCAAAAGTACATTTTAGAAACAATCTAACAGCAACAATACATGTTATAATAAAAGCAAAAAAAAATTTTAAATTGAATGAAACTTGATAAGCTTGGGGCAGTATATTTAATAGGTGGGATCTAATTGATCAAAATTAGGTCTAAGTCTCCTTTCTAAACTCCTGGGATATCCAATGAGTTGTTAATAAAGAGAAAACACTTATTGATTTTCCCTTCTTAACTTCCAGTCTGACAATGTCACCATCATAGCATCTGGGTA